TATATATATATATAAACTGGGTGTGATGGCTCACATCTGTAATCCCAGCACTTGGGAAGCTGAGGCGGGAGGACCACTGCAGGTTTGAGGACAGCCTGGGCTACACAGTGAGTTCCAGGCCAGCCAGATCTACATAGCGAGACCCTGTCTCAAAAAAAAAAAAAAAAAGAAAGATGTACCCCACAAAGAAAATACCAGTGTTTGAGCACATACTGTATGACCCATTCAAGTGAAAATTTACATTGGGTGTATAATCCCTGCTACTTCAGAGGCTGTGGCAGGAGAGTCAAAAGTAAGACCCATCTCAAAATAAAAAGGGCTGGGGATCTAGTTCAGTGGTAAACTGTCCCTGGTTCAATATCCAGCACCAAAAAGAAACTTTTTTAGACAAGAGGGAGCTAAACTATAGTAACAGGAAACAGTGATGCTTCTGAGGTTGGGTGAGGGGCATCAGGAAGGAATTTTGGGGTGATGGATATATCCTATAAATTCAATAGGACAGCAGTTACACAGCTGTATGTATCCCATCTCATCAAACTGAATTGGGTGCATATTTTGCATGTTAATTGAACCTTTATTAGAGTTGGTTTAATGAGTAGGAGGATCGCAAGTTTTAGCTCAGCCTGGGCAACTTAGCTACTTAGCAAGAGCTTGTTTCAAAATACAAAAGAAAAAGCTGGGGCTGTAGCTCAGTGCAAAAGCCCCCCGCCCCCTTTCATCTCCAGAGGGGGGAAAATTAGCTCAGGGCCAGGGATTCAGCTCAATGGTGCCACCATCTGTCTCCGAAGCGCAAGGTCCTGAGTTGGATCCCTGGTACCAAAGTGAAAAAAACCCAGTCCTAATTGTGTAATTTTTTTTCTTTTCTTTTGAGATAGGGTCTCACTATGTAGTCCAGGCTCACCTTGAATTCTCAGTGATCCTCCTGGCTCAGCCTCCTGAGTGATGGGATTATAGGTGTACACCACCACACCTTCAGACGGGGTCTCACTATGTGATTCAAGCTGGTCCTGAACTCATTATGTACCCCAGGCTAGTCTCGAATTTGCAGCAATCCTGCCTCAGCTTCCCCAAAGAGGGCATTACAGGCATGCACCACAATGCCTGGCTTGTATTTATTTAAAACTCATTAAAGGTCGCCAGCATCTAATGAGAGCTCTCAGTCTGTATGAGCTATATTTACTGGCCGTAAATATAGAAATTTTTTTCTTCCTTTCTTTTTTTCTTCAGTACTGAAGATTGAACCCAGAGCTTTTGCACTGGGCTACATCCCCAACCCTTTTTATTTTGTATTTTGAGATAGGGTCTCCCTAAATGGCTAAATTGCCCAGGCTGGGCTCGAACTCGAGGTCCTCCTGTCTCAGCCTCCCAGAGGGACTTGATTATAGGCAGGGGCCACCACGGTCACCTATGGAGCTCGTCTCGAAGAAGAGTGACCCTTCCAAAGAGGAGGGGAAGGGCCTGTGTAATGGCACAGAAGTGTGACTGTGTGCTGGTCTCAGGCAGCTAGGACAGGATCAGGAGGCCAAGAGAGACCGGGAAGTGTTTGAGGCCAAAGTTAGTGGGGAGGAAACGGCCAAGTTGGGGCCCTGAGACTGTCCTGGGGTTGCCCGGGAGCCGGGTTCGGGCGCCCAGCAGCTGAGGGGGCGGGATTGGGGATGACAGTTGTCAGGGTGTCTGGCTGGGAGGTGGGGCTGTTGGGATTTGGAGACCCAGGAAGAAGCGCTGCTGGGACGGAAGTGGCAGTACGGAGAGGCGTCCGCACCTAATAAAAAAGGAAATATTGGAAATCTAGTGTGAGTTTGCCAGTGAGGAAGCAGGCCAGGAGGTACAGCCTGGGCAGCGGCCCAGAGCAATAGGAACGGCTCATCCGGGGACGGGAGAGAAGTTTGCAGCGAGGTCTGTAGTGAGGCAGGAGGAGCAGGGCTCACGAACTCAGCCCTTCGCATAAGCCCTCATGCAACCAGTAGCTTCTGCAAAGCGAGGAAACCTTCCCGGGAGGTGACGTCTACGCGACCCAGGACCGTGCAATAGGAGTTGCCCAGACAAAGGGAGGTGGGTGTTCCCGGCACGGGGTGGGGCCTGGCAAGGGCCAAACGACCTGAGAGGGGGCGATGGGTTTCCACAAACCTGAAACCATTAAATAGAGGGGTTAACGCATTGATCTCTTATGCCTACTCTTGACTTGTTTCGGGAGCCCAGACAAATCCTCCCTCTCTCGGCCTCTCATTACTTCGGGTTTTCCCCCTTGTTCCTTCTGGATTTTCCCTCGGCCTGGGAGCATCCCCCGAATAGGCGATGAGTGACAGTTAGTTTAGTCCAATCGCAGTGTCTGAAGGGCAGCCTTTTCCCTCCTTATGGGCCAAGTGTGGTGTCCTTTTTGAAGCCAATAGCTTGGGGAGGGCTGACCAAAGGCTTCAAACGTCACCATTAGATTAACCAATAGAAGCGACTAAGAGGCGGGTCGACCTGCTGATAGAAGGCTCTGTTTCAAGAAGTACACTTAGCGCAGAGCCTGCCGGGAAGCCTTGGGGCGGTGCTGGGCGGGAGCTCTTGGTTGATTTTGCCCAATCATCTGACGCACTCTTTGAGACAGACCGGTGGCTTTGCCCATCCCGATCCCCTTGAGGAGGCGGGACTCTGAAGGCCAGGCTGGGCGGGGCCCTAATCTTTGATGGGCGTCTTCTTTACCCAATTACTAGGCGATGTTTTCAGATGGGTCGCCTCCATTACCAATGAGATCTTCTGGCGGGGTAGCGGTGGGCGGGTGGTAGACCCTCCGGTATAAGGCGGTCCCGGGGGCGTGAGAAGAAAGGGGGGGTCTCGGCGGCCGGAGGAGGAGTAGGTGCGGGTGAAGATGGCGGCAGCCGAGGCCGCGAACTGCATCATGGAGGTGAGTGCCTGCAGCGCCGCTGGGGGCAGGGGGCGGCTTAGGTTGGTGTTTTATACTTTTGTCGTGGGGAAGGGGCCCTGAGTCGACGACGTGGGTCTGAAGGCCCTTAGCTGCAGTACGGGAGCCCCGGATGCTCTGTATCCGGGGATATCTTTTGAGGGGGGGGTGACTCTGGTTTTCAGGGGCCATCGGTACCTAGCGGAGCCTAGGGTTTCGGCCCCCCTCCCACGTGGAGCATTGCTGGGGGCGCTTCCGGCCGGGCCCCCACGTGGACTCGGCGCGGTGGGTGGGGAGGGGGTGTGCCGATCCCGGGGGCCAGGCGGGCTCCACGTGCGGGACCAAGGCCCCGCCCCTGGCGGGGGAGGGGCCCCGGGGGCAAGAGAGGCTGCGACCCCCCTCATGAACCCCCAGTCTTTCTCCTTGGGGACCAGGACACGTATCGTGGGGCGGGATTTTCTTGGGCCCCTCCGCGATGTTAGGAGTTAATTGTAAGGGGACAGTGCTTCTGGGCCCTCGATATTGCCCTTCCTGGGTCTGGGGGCATCTACCGGGCCTCCGATCCAGGTTCCATGGATGCTGGGTTTGGGCTAGGAGAAGACGGAGACTAGGTCCCCCTCTGTTTTCGGTCCTGAATTCTCCCCGTCCCGGGGGCTTCAGGAGCTGGAGGATGGGGCATGCTCCTGTGACCTCCCTTTGCGTGGTGGTGGGGCATCTAGACCCGAGAGCCTTCTTGAACAGGCGCCGGGCACCCCCTGGTGGACATTTCTGGCTTGTGGGAGGGACATCTTTTTCATGAGGCGTGGCCCAAGGGTCGCCTTCCCTTCGGAGCCCTGTGGGTTGGTCAGATCTGCCAGAAAGGAATTGTGTTGGATTAAATGTGTGTATAGCCTGCGGGCTTTACTCTCTCCTCTAGCCCTTTCTCTGCTCTGGAATTTTTGAGGGTAGGAGAGAACACCACCCTCTTCCTGAAGATTTTTGGGGGTCTGGATGCCAGAAATAGTTTATACTCAGGTCCAGTGAGGGAGTATCCATGGATGTTTCAAGACCTTGGGCTGGGGTTGTCTGGTCCCGAGCCAGAAATCTCGGCAGCCACCATCGCTGGCTTGGGAGAGGGAGGAGGGGCTTGGAGCCCCCCTTAGAGTGGGTCACTGGGTTGGCCCTTGAAGCGGATGTGGCCTGGGTCCTTCCTTCCCTCACCCTGCAGCATTCTTTGGGGGGGGGGAAGATCAGCCCCCACATACATGTCATTCATCTCTTTGGGGGACAGTGACCCTCCCCCATTCACCTCCCTTGGCTCTTCTGGGCCAGGGGCAGTTGAGGCGTGGGGAGCATCTCCCAGAGCTTGCCTCACCTTGAGGGGGCGGCTTCGGGATGGGGAGGGTTGTGTGAATGGAGGCCATGGGCTCTGTCCCTGGGGCATGTTCCTCAGAGGTGCTGGGGACAGGCCATCCTCCCCAGTGCTGCCTTCCTAGGAGAGGATAAGAAGGACACTGCTCCTAGCTAGCTTTGTTTGGGCACCAGGGCCTGGGAGACCAGCTGTGGTGGG